TCTCAAAAAAGTATTTTTTGTGAGATGGTGGCACAAAGGCATGGATGCCAATCAAATAGAATTATTTCAGAGTATCCAGGCTCATAGTAAAGCCTGCTCAGCCATCCCAGCATCATCAAAATCCAAGAATCCGTTTTTATAGATTCAAATAGAACTCCGTCATCAGTACACTGGTTTATCAGAAACAGAACTACTTATGAAGGAACAATTCTTCTAATCTTTAACCAGAGATGACACTTCCATGAAATCTGTAACTAGTAGCTAGGGCCCAGACCATGATGATCCAGATCAAGATGAAAATGAGTTTTCTATACTTGTAGAAGAGGCTCAAGAACCAGCTGAAGACAAACCCAATCTTGCTGATTTTTAGGATTCGTAAACCACACTTATTGCCGACAAACTTTACAAAGAAAATGACAAAAAAGGAAAAGACAATGCCTGAAGATCCCTACCAGCAATGCTTTCCAGTAACGTCAGTACAAAATGACAAACCAGGATAGCAAATAATTTTGCTTTTCTAAAAAGGCGATTCCTTTTGTCTCCACTGTCAACAAATTGCTAATAAAGATAAGGATACTGAATCAAAAAGTTGATTCCCACTTAGCCAAGAGGATAAGGATATTCGACTCCATCTACTTAGGACATGCCACCTGTCCTTTATCTTATCTTTTCTTCTTCTTCTTCTTCATTTTTTTTTCCTATGAAAGGGATAGCTTCAGCCTTGTTGAAGCAGAGTGTGTGTAAGTGTGTAAGTATCAGTTTGTCAGGGTGCTCTCTCTTTCTCTCTCTCTACAATGTACTCCACTTATTGTGAAGAAATAAAATTATCAGTGCTATTGTAAGTATTTCTTATTTCTTGTATATTTATGTATGTCAATTAATTTACTTGTTGAATTGCATGAAATTTTAGATTTCTATCAACAACGTCGTAATTATTGTTTAAATTTTTTACACGATGAGTATTTGCAGCCATCTATCCTCTTTGTGTTAGAAGAAATTAACTAGCAAATATTACTTACAGAACAGTGGATCCAGGAAGAGATCTGCCGGTTGGCGGCCTATATCCGGCCTCCATCCCAATAGTAAAGCAGTTATGAGACCATACATGTGGTAGTTTAGATCTAATATAATAGTAATATGAATAGTGATATTCCTAGGTTTGTGCTTAGTAGGGATTGATCAGGATTAAGGTTAAGTGGGACGTCACCCAAGTCGTGTATAGGTTAGAAGACCAAGTTGCAGTGATTGTGTTGAGGTCTGTTCCCTTGTAAAGCGTTGACATACGTGCTTCGGTAGAACCCCGGTTAGCACCTAGTTGGTATTAGAACCAAGTTTATTATGTTTGTATTATTATTCTATTACATTTAAATTATACATATATGGTCACTATACAACAAATCATGATTACTGAACCTTCAACCATAACAATAGTAGTCAATACAATAGCTTCTACATTAGAAGCAGCAAAACTTGTAGCCTATTAGGATGTTAAGGAAGCCTTAGATAAGTGGACTATCCCAAATGTTAAACCTGATACAATCTATAAAATTGGAACTTTTGACTATTCCAGTATAAAGATAATAAAGACATTTGAACATGCTGTACCATTACAGAATAATGGTGAAATTATTAAGTTACTTCATGTCCAGGATTTAGCACCATTTTTCAGAAAATATAATATATTCATATAAGATTAGTCTAGATAGCCTTTAAACCCTTAACCCTGCCAGGCCAAAATACCAGTATTCAATGCACTCTACGTAATGGTAGGTGCCTTGATTAGAAAGCCTCTCTTATGGTAGCCATTGAAACCAGCTTATCTCACGGACCTGTATATTTTAACGTTTATCCTAATCTGAGCGTAGCACTCATAGATCCAAACCTTTTAGAAGTCTTAGAACTAAGAGTCCTTACTCATAGCTGCCAGTATCTACCAGGAACACCCCTATTATCAGCAATCTTTAGAATTCATTTAAAGGTTTTAACAACCTTAAATCCCTATAGTAGAAAACATAGTGAATTAGGACATACTGTCCTCATAGACATTAACGTCTTCAGCAGTCAGGTAGCCGCCTCTAGAATGATCCCCTGGCAGAATATTACTTTTCTAGAAACATGGCAAATTCCGAATGCTGTACCAATCAGACCTATTATACGACACACTATTGATCAAATCGTTAAAACTCAAGGTGGTAATGTATACCTTAATTTCTGTAGACCATTAACCAGAAGTATGTCGAGTGCCAGTTTTAGAACTGCTCCCTCCTATAGAGTAGATTTACCTGAGTTATTTCGACAATCTACCTTTGAACCGATTGAATCTATATTACAAGGAATACCTTCTAGACCACTTAGTGATCCACCTGCAGACACTGTGATTCAAGGAATCCGTATATTAGAAAATCAAATCCCTCATGGGGTATATGAAAACAAAAGGCCGTATAATCTAATAGCCAGCGATACGAATTTTGAAGTTTAATAAATTTTACTCCAGGAAGTGAAATTCGACAATATCTTAACCAGGATTTTATGCAACCAAAATAGCCGGAGTTTAGAAAATGGTGTTTCAATTACCATAACTTTCAACAGTTAGAGAAACTTAAGAACTAGTATTATCTTCATCTTGAAAAACATCAGAAACTAAAATCTTTTCCAGAATGGTATTTTGAATTTGCCAATATCATGGACTTACTTCTAGAACCTCAACTCAATGTCTTGGATGATATATATAAGACATGATTAACAACAAATGGACAAAGTATTAAGTCTATACATCTGCCTTCGCAGTCATTAGAACTAGCACCAAGCCTAGATTTTTGTTCCAGTAGTTCCCTTGTTATTACAGCTTTTGTCAAACCAGCTGACACGTTTTGGTGACCTCGTTCCTATAATTAAACAAAATAACTATGCAAATCTTCATTTCCAAACTGTAGGAAAACAATTAACCAGGATTGAAGAATCAATCGCAGAATTGGTACAAAATTAGACAGCCAAATCCAAACCAGATTCCACTATTCAACCAGTAAACATTAAACCCCCTTTAGAAGTGTCTAATTTCAAACTTAGATCAACCAAACAGGATAATGAATTTATGCATGCTCTTATTAATAAAATGAAAAACATTCAAATAGGGTAGTCCGGTTTTCAAATTAATGTGCTTTCTCAACAGCCATCAGCTATTCTTAGTGATAACGACGACCTGTCCTTATCACAGATTCTTGAAATCCAGAATAATTTCCAAGATATTCAATCTATAAATAAAACTTATTTTCCTCAACAAACTTCCATAATGGCTTTAACAAGACCAAGTCGGTATTATTATTCTCGACCTACTCCCCAGGATATCCTCTATGAAAAAGATTTCCTCCATTTTCCGAAATCTTACCATGGTAAAACTAGGCCTAGGAGGTATTTGAGCCGGCGGGACGGACCTAGGCTTGGGCGGGCCTGAACATTTTTTTTTTCTTATTTTTTTTCTAAAATTTTATTATTTTCCACTAAAAATGACACTTGGCCTCGAACCAGGTTTTGAGTGGGCTAGAAGCGGATCGATGAGCCAGGCCACGAGTCGACTTAGCCGGGTCGGGCTTCAAAATGACAGCTTAGGCCTAGACCCAAAGTCTCGGACTGGGCTCAGGCTTGGGCTTGGACCTACCTAGGCCAGGCCCACCTTGGGCCGAGGGTGGGCTTTAGGTTGCCCACAGGCCATGGGCCATTTTTATACTCCTATTATAGTTTGATGGGAGTTATTTATGATATTAAGTGATTGTGGTACTATTAATCCCAATAATTTTTATAATTAACAATTTTCTTATGTATATAAAATTTTATTGTAAAATTTTGTGGATTAATTATTGTTAATATCTACGAGTATGATCTAATATCATAACTTGCCGCTATTAAAATATAATTTAAAATTAAAATAATTTATTTATCACACAAAATATATAACCTATTTTCCTGTACATCTCACTAATTATTACTATTTAAATTAAATAGAATATTTAATAATACATTTCTGTTCATAAATCATAAACAGTAGGGGTGAGCAGCGGATATACCGATTCGCTAAAACTGACCGAACCGAACCGAACCAATCCGTCGCATTTTGGACGGATGCATGATGGCGAGCGGACGGTTGCAGATTGATTTTCTCCAATCCGCCAATTTGGCGGATGGATGACGGATTTGAGGTTCCTTTGGCCGCAACCGAACCGCCAAACCGCGAGCACCCTTAATAATTTATAAGACTTTGTGTTTTCAATTTGTTTAAATATTTTGTTTGTGTTTTCAATTGAAAAAGAGTTCAAATATTTTGTTGAAAAAAAGTTTTCAACTTGAATATATTTTTTGAATTGAAAAAAATAAACGTATTATTTATCTATATTTTTTTATTTTTAAATCTAACCCTAAAAGTAATAAATAGAAAATATGATATATGCTGGTTGATTTTTGTTTTCAAAAACATATATAAATGTAACAATACAGAAACATACAATCTTTACTATTGCTCTGTTTATGGTTTTGGTGGTTTGAATTGTTTTTATATTTTAAGAACCATAGATTGTAATACTTTATGTGGACGAGGCATGTTGTGATTGTAACATGTAGATGAGGCATGCAGTGATTGTGATAATTTAAAGTTTCAAACTTTCTTTCTTTGGATGAGACATGCAGTAATTGTAATACTTTTTAAAGTCATTGACTGTAATATTTTTTTTAGGAAGTGCACAAGTTGAATTATGTTGAAAATTTATAAAATTTCAAACCGCCAAACCGATTCGTATCTATCCGCCAAACCGTCAATCTGCATCCGCTGGATTGGCAGATGGATACGGATTGGTTTTCTCCAATCTACCAATCTGATGAACGAATGACAGATTAGAGATTCCGTTGCCGCAACCGACCCACGCCCACCCCTAATAAACAGTTATGCGATCATTTTTAAATAACATGAGTGAAAATACAACATGAAGCGAGTGTAATTTATTCAAAAATATAGGGCAATTGTTTGATAAAAAACACTCCTCTACAATATGATTCACCCATTTAACTCTATTTTTTACCAGCCTCATTTCACCTATCCATCTCTCATCCTCATCAGCGGCTTTATTTTTTTTAACCTTTTGCTATGGAGGTCTTCACAGGCGACCGACAACTACCAAACGACGACGTCGAGTTCCCAGTACACTTGACGCCTTTTCCCGAAGCTTCCCACATACTCTACGACGATCGGACGGCGGAGATTCCGCCGCCGCCGGAGACGGAACACCACTCCCAGCCGCCGCCGCAGAAGCTCCGTCCGATCAGATGCCACGGTCGGACCTTGCCGGAGTATTCATATCCTACGGTGGCTGAAAGAAGCGGGGGTCTACTGAGTTGTGATGCCGAGTTAGGGTTTCTGACTCAGCTACTCAATGGAGGAAGTACATCTGAAGTTCCGGCGATGCAGCAGAAAATGAAGTCGGAGATTAATGCTGAGTGTTTGAATTTAATCTCTGCGGGGCCTCTTTTTGAAGCCGAATTAAGGTTTTAATTCTTCATCTCTAGTCTCTGTTTGTTTGTGTCTATTTTATATAGTTTTTGGTATGATTGTTGTTTTGATTTTTTTTATTATTTATTTTTATCTTAACTTTTCGTATGCTCATTTGCCTGTAATTTTTACGTGTTTTGCATATTTGTTTAGGAGTAAGATAAGGGCTGTTTGGTTACAGATTGTTTGGTTATAGTTTATTATGCAGAAATAATTTAAATAAATTGATTATTTAAAAGCTGGGGAAGCGGTGTATTTTCTGATTATCAGCTTTTTAGCTTAAAAAAAGCTTCACCAAACAGGGCTGTTAGAGCTTCTAAGTGGTGATTATTGCTTATTTTAATTTGGGAGTATCTGCTTCTGTTTATAGTTTATTAGACTGAAATAACTTAAATAAATTGAAAAAACTGATGATCTGATTATCGGTTTTTAACTTAAAAAATGCTCTACCAAGTCATGTGCTGTGCTTTTGACTTAAATTTATTTATCATTTACAAAGTCTTTTTGAAAATTATATAACTAGTTTTATTGTTAAGTGGTGTTGAACTTGTGTCTTATATTTTTATTTATTAAAGTTTTTTTTTTCTTTCCCTTTTCTAATATATAGTGGGTCTCTTTATTTAATTAGTGTATAAGCACTGTTTATTTGGTTCTCAAAAGCTTTGACCAAGGGAAAAAATAATTGTGTTGGCATAATTTCATGCCACCACTTAAAATTTTAAAGAATAATGACTTCACAGCCTGAGTTTATAATAATTGTGATTAATCATGGCGGAGTGAATCGAGATGATGATAAATATAGCCATATTTACACTTTGTATGACTTGCATTGAGATTGTTGAAATTATTTAGGTTGATTTGTTTTTTGAATAATGCTATACAAATAGAAAAAACATACAAAAAAAACTTGTACGGAAAGATGTGGCTGAATTGTTATTGTAGGCTTATCACTTCAAAATAAAGAATCGACCGATGACTATTAATTACGAAAATGCCACTGTGACATCGTTGTGGTTGCAAATTTTGTATAATATTTCTATAAGAATGGTCTATTAACTAGGCTGAGCCAGTCCAAAGATGAATCCTTGTGATGCATTACATTTTTATTGATGTTTAGTTTGTATTTGCTAGTGGAGGTGTAGGAATGTTGGCACTGGGGTTGCAGCTGGTGTGAGTAGAGGCGGTATCACTTGTGTGACATTCATGGGATAGTGGTTCGTAATAATAGATGCAGAGAGGTGTTTGGGATTGGTGGGATGGTATTGGTGGCAACATGTGTCACCGTGCTGTTGAGGCTTCTAATAGTTTTTGCAGTAATGTTTATCTGTTGGAGGTGGTTTTCAAATTTGAAACTTCAATGCCCTTCAATAGGATTTTGGAAGAATGTTTTTCTTGCTTCTGAGAGAGTCAAAGGTCATTGAAATTTTGGCTTCCCCAAAGCAAACAAAACAGTTCTAAAATGCTAAGAAACGATTACTTGATATATTTATGCTCATCAGTTGTTGATTAAGAAGATCAAGAAAGCTTTTGCCCCAGTGATCTTGTTGTGGAAAAATGCAACGTGATAAATTTATGAAGCTTGTGTGGGCAAAAAAAAGTGGGAGAATATATAAAGTGATGGAAATTCTATATGGTGAGGCAGTTTCAGGACTCACTTAAAAATCCACACACCAGACCATCATTGTTGAACTAATGTTGTTGTTCTCTGTTTCAGTTCATCTTCAGATGATGATGGTGATTCATCAGAAGCCATGACAGAACCTTCAAATCGTAAGAGGAAGAGAAGAACAAGGAAAAAGCTCGAATTGTATCTGGAAAATATGATAAGGAAGGTGATCCAAAGGCAAGAGCAGATGCATAAACAGCTGATAGAGATGATAGAGAAGAAGGAAAAGGAAAGAATCCAGAGAGAAGAAGCTTGGAAGCAGCAAGAGATTGAAAGGGCAAAGAAGGATGAGGAATTAAGAGCCGAAGAGAGGTCTCGTAGCCTAGCTCTCATTTCCTTCATTCAGAATTTGCTAGGCCATGAAATTGAAATCCCCAAATCGTTGGAAACTTCATGCCCAGAAAAAGATGAATGCGAAATACATGATCAGAAAGATCTCAGGTTTGATCCGTGTAATAAGAGATGGCCAAAATCTGAAGTACAAGCCCTCATTACAGCTCGAACTGCTTTGGATCATAAGTTCCAAAAGGGACCGAAAGGCTCCATATGGGAAGAGGTATCTGTTGGATTGTCTAACATGGGTTATAGCCGAAGTGCGAAGAAGTGCAAAGAGAAATGGGAAAACATCAACAAGTACTATAAAAGAACGATGGAGAATGGAAAGAAGCGTCCCGATAATGGTAAAACTTGCCCATATTTTCATGAACTTGACACTTTATATAAAAGTGGACTTATTAATCCGGGAAATGCTTGTCTTTGTATAAAGAATGAGATCGAGGACAAGAGTGTGGAGGAGTAAATATTGGCGAACTATATTTACCTTTGGTGTCCACCATGACCTTGAAGAAAGAGCTGTTGGAGTGAAGTATGATAGGCACCTCGTAACTATATATTTTATTGTGCCTTGATGTCTTTTTGCAGTATTCTTGCACCACCTTTAATGTTCTTTGGTTGTACGTTACAATTTTGCGCCTGATTGGCTGTGAATGAGGTTTGTTTGCGATTGCAATTGCAATTGCAATTGAATAAACAGAAAAAGAAAAAAATGCAGTTTTTGTCAATCGGAGTAGTGCTGTCTAGTTGGTTGGTATTTGTTTTTGGTTTGTTTTTCTCATTTTATTGCTTGGATGATATGCTTGTATTAAATTCTTGTTCTGGTGATGTAGGCGGTGGTTCTTCATGGCTGGTTTCTGTAGAAACATTATCAAAGGTATTTTCGACTCGTACATACAGAGTTCCAAAGTGAGTTTTGAGGCCGAGTTTTAAAAAAAAAAATATGTTTTAAGATATTCAAGACTTGAGTAGATATGGAGGCAGCTTCAACCTCTTGATAAAAATCACAATGGCAAAAGTCAACCATACACACACACATCTATAACTTGCATCCTTGATAAGCTGTGATTTGAGAATTAGAACTTGCTTCAAGGTCTGATAAGAAAATCCTCCAAGTTGGTTACTTCTATATGGTGCTTGTAACTTCATTAGAACTAACTAGTATTACATGCCTATGTATAGGAGAAATTTTTTAACAAGTCTGCCTTACATTTTTGGTGATGTGCCCTTGCAATGGTGTAGGGTCATGTAATTAGCGTTTTTTTACTTTTTTCCCCTATGTTTTAGGGCTGAGCAAGGAATCCGTAAAATTCGTAATTCGATTCAGTCTAGTCCAATCCAGTAGGTTTTGATTGGTTTTTTAAATCCGTGGTTCGGTTCTGGATTGAAAAATTAAAAATCCGTAGTTCACGGATTGGTTCCGGATTGAACCCCATGATTCCGGATTGGAACCGATTCGGACCGTATACCAAATAGTCTATATTTTTATTACACACTCTCCGGAATAGTATCTTCTCTTATTTTATATAAAACTTAGATCCAAACCTAAACTCGCATAATATCTTTTTTTATTATTTTTGTTTGCTAGTTTTTAGTGTTAATTTGTTATGGTCTAAATACTTATAGTGTGGAACTACTTTTCTAATGGTTATTTAAATTTTAGAACAGTATGTCGCTATTATAAAAAAACATGTTGCTATTGTGAAAGTAATATGGTGCTATGTTTATATTTTTATGAAATGAAAGTGTTATATATATTTTTTGTTATTTAATTATGTAAATCCGTGGTCCTAAACCGATCTAATCCGTATTTAAATGGGTTGGTTCGGATTGGTTTCACGATTTAAACAGATTGGATTAGTTCTAATTTTTCAGGAACCGTAGATAACGAATTGGTCCTGATTTTACCTCAATCCGGATAATGCTCACCCTTATTATGTTTTACATAAAGTGATTTGGTATTCTTTTATTATAAGGTGGACACACAGTGTAGGACAGACCTATCAAATAACTTCTCATATGTATAGACAAATGGTCAAATGAATGGGATATCTATACACATTAAGGCCCCGTTTGGGGACTTACCTTTTTAGCCAATTAGCCAAAAAGTTATTAGCCAAAAAGCCAACAACTCATACAAAAAAGTCAAAGATTCTCTTTTCTCTCTACTTTTTGCACATCTTTTCGTAATTAGCCAAAAAGTCATCCCAAACATACAAGTTTTTCTTACCTATTTTTTTAGCCAAATAGCCAAAAAATTACTAAATTAGCCTGTTCCCAAACGAGGCCTAAGAGCATGTTTGTCATCAACTAAATAGTCAAGTTTTTTTTTTTTAAATAAGTTAAGAAGTTTAAATTTTATTTGTCATTAACTAAAAATACTAAAAAGTCGTTCAACTTTTTAACTAATAGAAAGTAACCTTTATAGTAATTTCTCAAATGCATCAATTTTTTATTTTGTAAATTTTTTTATATTCTAAAAAAGTCAAAAAAAATTAAAATATATTTTTAAAAAAGATCCCACTAAAACCAAATAGGCTAAGTCAGATAAAACTTTAGCCTCAACTAATGCCATTGTTGAAGTAATAAAATATAGTGTTGGGCAGGATGGTGAAATGGAAAATAGATAAATAAAAATTATAATAAATATGAAAAGAGAGATTACAATGTGCACCCTAAAATATACTATGCATTTTATAATTTTTTTATAAAATTTCGTAACATAAAACACAAAATATAATAACTTTTCTCATTAAAAAATGTTATAATAAAAATAAAAAAGTGTCATAACAAAAATCACACAGTATCATCCCTTCACAATTCATAACTTTAACAACATACAATAAATTTATTATTCTTAAGTTTACCACAAAATATCGTAAGACACATTACAAATATTCATAATTTTTACCACAAAAAATTATAATTTTTTTACTATATGCACCTTTTAGTTGTGCAAGTTCTTATATTGAGAGATGTTACTATGTGTTCCCTTTATAATAATATCACAAAATTTCATAAAATAAAGTTGTGCAAGTTCTTATATTGAGAGATGTTACTATGTGCTCCCTTTATAATAATATCACAAAATTTCATAAAATAAATTATAAAACGACAAAAATTTTTTGATCACAAAAAATATATATTTTTTTACATAAATTATAAAATGACATAATTTTTTTAACACAAAAATATATAATTTTTTACTCATCATAAAAAGAGAAATCCTTGATGCCTCGAATTGAGTTACCTCAAATGACACAAATTTGTGTTCATCGGACGACCGGCCGGACGACCACTCTAACGATTGGATGAAGCACTTGTCTACCACAATTGTTATCTTGTCGACTGTAACTGTCAGTGTTTTTACCAAACGACCAACCGGACTACCAGCCAAACGACTGGCAAAACAAAATTTAAACCACTTGAGGCCTGAGCAAATTCGAGATACATTGCTCTCAAAAAAATAGGGGGAATTACTGCAGGAAAAAAACATTACAAAACAGCGGCTGATTTTCTAGAATTTCAATACAGCGGAGTGTGGGAAAATTATTACAAATCTATACTCTCTTTTTGTCTCTTTCCCCGACACTTTAGTCTCTCTCTCTCTCTCTCTCTCTGCTTTTCATTTTTATTTTGTTTTGATAAATATTGTGTAATTTTTAAACTATAAATAATTTTTTTTATAACATTAATACCGTTAAAAATATATTCACGATACATTTAAAATGAGATTAATATTAAATATATTTAATAAATTTAACATAATAATTTAAAAATTACATTGTTTTAAAATATTTAAATGATTAAAATAAAATATCTGATTAAAAATAACATGAACAAAAATTAAGTTCATTTGGGAATTGACAATTTTAATTAACTTTTTAAATTTTTACAAAAAGCATTCAAAAAAATAAAGTGGGTGATATGATTAGATATTTTGATTTTTTTAATCATTTTAACTAAAAAACTAACTTCGCAAACATATGAATATAAACTATTTAAATTACTTCAATAAAAATATTATTTTTCAGTTTTTAAGACTTTAAACACTAATTATCACTATTTGGTTACGTTTTCAAATTTATTATTCTTTAAACTATAAATAAGTTTGATGAAAACAAACAAAAAAGAAGATATTTTTAAAATTTTCTTTATTTAGAAATTTAAAAATATATTTTTTAAATTTAAATTATCAAAAGTAATTTTTTGTACTAACTTTGGCCATATATCACATTTTAATTATTCAAATATTTCAAAATAATGCAACTTTTATTAAATTTAAATTATCAAAAATAATTTTTTGTACTAACTTTGGCCATATATCACATTTTAATTATTCAAATATTACAAAATAATGCAACTTTTATTTGTTTTAAATTGGTATTTTATATTTTTTTCATTAAATATTATTAATATTACTGTTGTTTTAAAAGTATCGTCCATATTATCTCAATGGTATTAATTTTAAAAAGATTACATTTACATTTTAAAATTTATACATAGTTTTTAAAAATAAAAATAAAAAGTCACTAAAATTATCAAAAAAAAAAAGAATAGTTATCACCAGAAAATAAGATTGAAACATAAAAATATTAACTCAAATCATATGCTAAAAATAGTTACAAATATTAGTTTTAAAAAATTAATTGCATAGTATATTTCATTATAAATAATTATAAGAATAACAAAAAATAGTCAAAAAAAATAATAATTCGCATAATATATTTCAGCTTTAAAAATATGTGAGTGGAGTGCAAGTTTAATTTGTATAGGGTTCAAGTCTAATCTATGTAGGGTACAAGTTCAGTCTGTATGGGAGTGCAAGTCTAATTTGTCGGGTGCAAGTTGAATGTACGTGGGAGTGCAAGTGTAGTCTGTGTTGAATGCAAGTCTAGTAGTGCAGGTCGAATTTGTGTGTGGGTGCAAGTCTAAGTCTATGTGGGATGCGAGTCTAATCTTTAAATTAATGTTTGTATGGTTCAAATATGTATTTTTTATTTGTATGATTTGAATTAATATCTGTATCGGATGGAATATTATTTATTATTATTTATATAATATTGAATCAAACCCCATATAATAAAAATAGTTGAAATATAAAATGTTTATAAATATTAATTTTTTGTAATTATTTTTAAACTAATTATTTCAACTTTACAAAAATTAATTTTTATATTATATTTCAACTTTAAAAATAGTTACAAATATTTTATTTTATTTATTAATATTTGTATAATATTAAATCAAACCCCTTGTAATAAAAATAATAATAAATAATATTCCACTTGTATAAATATTAATTCAAATTATACAAATAAAAATGATATATATTTAAACCATACAAATATTAATTCACAGATTGAACTTGCACCCCACATAGACTAAACTTGCAGTCTACACATACTGGATTTGCACCCCACACAAATTGGAATTGTACTCTGGCATAGATTGAACATGCATCATGCTCAAATATTTTAAAGCTGAAATATATTATGTGATTTTTTTTGGGACTAATTTTTGCTATTTTTGTAACTATTTATAAAGTTGAAATATACTATGCAACTAATTTTTTTTAAACTAATTTTTGTAACTATTTTTAGCATTTTTAGTATATGATTTAAGTTAATATTTTAATGTTTCAATCTTATTTGTTAAATTTTAATTATATGATTTAAGTTAATATTTTTATTTTTATTAGTCTCTATGTTTTCTCTTAAAAATAAAA